GTATTGTAAATTGCTTTTTGGGGAAAAAAACAAGAGAGGAATAGGCCACTTTCTTCAGCCTGACATTTTAGTGGGCCGAGCCCAATAAAATCAAACAAAGCCCAAATTCTAATCATGGCCCGATCTACAAATATCGGGCCATTCCAAAAATGTGTCGTGAACACTAATTTATATGGCAAGAGTGTTTGGATGCCCCAAAAAATATTTTTAGAAGTTAAGATAAAATTTTTTTCACACACTTATTTTGGATGTGTTTGGATCACTGTTTTATCTTTAAAACATGTCTTGGGATGTGTAAAATGTGAGCTAATGGTGCACTTGAAAATGGAAGATTGTTTGAATAACTTATTTTCATCTGCCTTTTTTGGAAAAAAGAGTTCATTACTGTAAAAGCCAATTTGTTTAGCTTCCAGTGTTAGGTTACATCTCCTTCTCCCCATTTTTTTCCTCTGTCCTTTTCTGCCCTCATATCTTTTGTCCTCATTCTCAACTTTTTTTTTTTTTGGTACATGAGAGAGGCCGAAGCCAAAAGCAAGAATTAAAACATTGGGGATTGTAATCCCATAGCTTCTTTCTGAACCAGGGCCCTCATACGTTGAGGAGCCATGTCAAGCAGAGAAGTAGTTGTAAACCCCCTCTTTGCCATGCTATCCGCAATCCTATTGCATTCTCTGTGGACAAAATTGACTTGCACCTGCCACGTTCTTGATAAGTATCGTTTAATGTCCAATAAGGTATTGCTCCAAGTAGCATTAGAGCTTTGCTTTTCCAGTAGTGTATCAGTAAGAGTTTTGCTATCAGATTCTACGATAATGTTCCTAAATCCCATCTCCCAAGCTAAGTAGAGACCCTTAAGCATTGCCCACTCTTCTGCTTCATAGGCACTACAATTCCCAAGATAATTCGAGAACCCAGCAATCCAATTACCTTGATAGTCTCTAAAAACACCCCCACAAGCAGCTGCCTTAGCGGTTTCAGATTTAGCTCCATCCACGTTTAATTTAACAATGTTAGGAGGAGGTGGAACCCACCGCTTAGGATTAGAGCTAGAAGTATTAACATCACATTGCAAGTGATCCTTTCTCATACTGAATTGGTTACAGGTTTTTAAAATCACCAGTGCTGGTTCATGAGGTTTCTGAGTCTCCCCTTTAAAGATGAATTCATTTCGCCAATGCCAAAGTTTCCAAGTTGCAACTCCCCAAATAAGGCTCCATTCAGTGCTGCTATCAGTAGCAAAATTCTGCTTCAGATTCATAGAGACCCATTCAACAAGTGAGGCCGAAAAGAACTGTTTAACCGTAGAAGGGGCTAAGATACTCAACCATAACTTTCTTGCGTATTCACAGTCCCTTAAAATATGCAGAACATCTTCTATATCATTCTGGCACCAGTCACAAAGAGGAGAAGCATGAGACCATTTGCTTCTCCATAGGTTTGTAGGTAGCCTATTTTGGAATATTTGCCAAATAAAAAACCTTATTCTCTCAGCACCATTCCATTTCCATATAAGCTTGTAAACAGAATTATGGGAACTCTCATAAGCTCCTTCTATTAAGTTATAGGCACTTTTAATAGAAAATTGACCATTATTATTTCCATTCCACATCATAACATCACTACTACCGCGCTGGACACTTGGAGGAATAATAGGTAGAAGCATATTTATTACCTCTTGTGGTATTAGTCCAGCTAGCCGAGAGAGATCCCAGGTCCCTGTGTTAACCCAATCTGCCACAGTCGAGCTTTCCTCCTCACTGGTGAGGGGTCTTAGACAAAATTCTCTAATAATTGTATCACTTGATATCCAGCGATCATTGAAAAAGCTCACATTCAAGCCATCCCTTACCCTCCATCTTGTTCCAGCATCTATAATATCGTGTTGCTGACAGATAAACTGCCATAATTGAGAGTCACCCGGTTTTGCAGTCAACAAATTCTCTTCTTGATGGAGCATATACTTGTGATGCAACACCTCAGCCCACAAAGCAGGGGTTCCAGTGATCAATTTCCATGCCAATTTTGCTCCGCAAGCCCTATTAACAGAGTGTAATCTTCTGAATCCAAGTCCCCCACCTTCCTTTGGTCTTATGATCTTTTCCCAGCAAACAGGATGGAAGCTCTTTCCCCATACAAAATTCCTTTGTAATTTTTCAACTTCATTGCAAATTGAGACGGGAATTTTTGCCACTTGCATTGGGAAGAGAGGTATAGTACTAATCACAGATTTGGCAAGGATAGAACGTCCAGCAGTAGAGAGACAATTTGCCTTCCATTTCGAAAGTTTACTTTTCACTCTATCAACAATATATTGGAACTTTGCAGTCTGATTCCTTTTTCTAGTAAGAGGAAAACCAAGGTAAGTTCCTATTTCCTCTGAAATTTTCATCTCCAGCACCCTCTTGACTTGCCCCCTCAAAGGAGGCTTGACATTTTTAGAGAAGAAGATAGAAGATTTCGCTTTGTTCACTTTTTCACCAGAAGCCGAACAGAATTGATCAAGGCACTGAATAATAATTCTTGCTTGTGATTCAGAGGCTTCCCCAAAAAGCAAAAGATCATCGGCAAACATCAAATGGGAGATAAGGGGACCATTTTTAGTCACTCGAAAGGGGTTCCACCTCCCATCATTAACAGCATCACAGATTATATGTGACAACTTGTCCAAGCAGAGCACAAATAAATAAGGCGAGATTGGGTCACCTTGTCGTAAACCTCGTCGAGGAGAGAAAAATTCAGACTGCTTTCCATTCCAGAGGACATTATAAGAAACAGTAGTTACACAATTCATAATCAAGTTTATCAAAGATTGCTCCATACCAGTTTCGAGTAGCACCCTTTGAAGGAAATCCCATCTAATGCGATCATAAGCCTTTTCAAGATCAATCTTCAAGGCCACAAATCCTTTCCTCCCTTTTGCTTTATTCATGGAGTGCATGATCTCTTGCCCCACAATGATATTATCATGAATTTGCCTTCCCGGAATAAAGCTGGCTTGAAAGGGAGATATAAGATTCTCCATATAGCCTTTCAATCTTTGAGTAATTATCTTTGTAATACACTTGTAATGAGTGGTACACAAAGAAATTGGACGGAAGTGACTCACCAATTCAGGGTTCTCTCTTTTTGGGATTAAAGAGATGAGAGTTTGGTTAGCCTCCTTGAAGGAGTTTGTGCCTCTGAACGCCCCTTGCACAAAATTAATCAAGTGACCCTTGACTGTTTTCCAATTTGATTGAAAGAATAAAGGGGGAAACCCATCAATACCCGGAGCTTTGTAAGCTCCCATTGCAAAAATAGCTTTCTTTATTTCCTCTTCAGAAGGAATGGCAGCCAGCGAAGAAGCCTGTAATTCACTCAGCATAGGAAATTTTGTACACGTAGAAATTTCCGAATCAGAAGAATCATCATTGCTGAAGAGTGCCTTAAAAAAATTAACCACCATCAACTGAAGATCATTTTCTTCTTCAACCCAGATACCACTGTTGTTCTTCAGAGCTAAAACTCTATTTTTCCTTCTTCTACAAGTAGTTTTCAGATGATAATAACGAGTATTCCTATCCCCTTTTGTAACCCATTCAGAGCGTGATTTTTGAAACCACTTTGTTTCTTCATTTTTAAGTATATCATCTAGCTCTTGTTGCAGTTCAAACTCCAGATTCCTCAGAAACAGCGAATAAGGATAAGCATCTGACTTTTGTATGCCATTAAGACGAGCTATAACTTGTCTTTTCTTTTTTTCAATCAACCCAAACACTTCTCTGTTCCAGATATTAACAGAATTTTTAAATTCTAACAAATTCTTGTCAATTTCTCCCTTCTTATCCCAATTCTCAGCAAGGAAAGCAGTAAAATTCTCATGCTGAAGCCACATGGCTTCAAAACGGAAGGGTTTGGAACTAGAGTGTCCCGCATTTTGATATCCCAGAGAGATCAAAAGAGGATTATGATCAGAGAATTTAGTCCTAGTCAAAACCTTCACCACAGAATCAGGAAAAGTAGAAATAAAACTACTATTAGCAAGAGCACGATCCAACCTTTCATAGAGTCTACTGTAACCGTTTAGGAGAGGCCCCTTCCATGTGTACTTGGGACCAACAGCTCCCAAATCAATAAGAGAAGCCTCCGAGCTACAGTCCTGGAACCATTGTATTCGGCGAGTAGACCCACCAGCACCGCCGCATCGTTCAGACACTTTAGCAATATCATTGAAGTCGCCGAAAACCAACCATGGATCAGAGATTGAATTCGAGAATTCTATTAATTTTTCCCACAGCAATTCTCGATAGTTTGAGTGGGGAATTGCATACACCGCAGTGAGTAGAAAGACAGGTTGATTCTGAAATCTGCATCGAAGGTGTAGAAATTGTCGATCCTCTTCAAGCATGAGAACTGACAGTTCACTACTCCTCCAACTAGCAACAAGCCCACCAAACCTCCCCACACTTGGAATGACCTGGAGAGAATCATATCCCAGTGTCTTCAAAACTTCAAACTTAGCTGGGTCAGAACACTTTGTCTCGGCAAGAACCAACAAAGCAGGATTCAACCCATTAATAATAACCTTCAAATTACTAAGAAGCCCTTTACCACAGGCCCCTCTTACATTCCAAAAAAATAAATTAATCATGATAAAATAATCTTTAGAAGGAAAGCCCATTTACCGTTCACGAGTCTCTTGGGTCTCCGGCACAAGAGTCTCATCTGGGTTCACACTGCAATCCATACCAACATCTTCTGGGCTTTCTAGGTCAGGCCCAAAGTAGTGATCATTGGGACTCTCTTCTTCGAAAATGGGCTCTCCTGGGTCATACGGCATTGAAGGTTCCTTCACTATTTCAGATTGGGCCCTATTCAATTTATCCTGCGGAGATCCATGCAAAGGAGCCCCATTCTCTTCAGCATCATTCAAGTCCATGGCATCTGATGACACCTCACCTCTTTTATCTCCCTGTTCTGAATCATCCCCTGTTGCCATTATAATCTCATCACTTTTTGGCCCTCCTCTCAAATTTTCCTCTCTCATCATCTCTCTTGTTCTTTTCTCGCAACGTTTTTGTACCTCATTCTCCTGCAACATCTCCTGTGGTACGTATAACACGATCTGTTGTGTGCCTTCATTGCTTGCATGTTTCTTTTTTTTCTGGACCACTTTTTTCTTCTCTCTCGTCTGCTGTGCAGGATTAGTGCGTTGGTGTTGTGGTCGCTGCGGAGTAACGTCCTGTACGACATGCACAGGTAGCTCGTTATTTTCCACGTAGTGCACTGGCTCTTCCACGTCAGCAAGTATCCCGAATCTTGATCCCCTGTTTTCCGGCCGGGAAGCTTCCCCTTTGTTGTCTCTGTTTTTTCGTTGCCGATGAGTCTTTTGAACAATCCGCCATTGCTCTTGTTTTTGGCTATAAGAGTTCTCATTTGCCTGATCATGGTTCTGGACATTAGTGTGCCTTGTTTTTAGATTCACATCAGTTTCCTCTGCTTTTTCTCTCTTCGGACAAGCTTCAAATCTATGCCTGTAAGTCCCGCAATTGGTGCATAACATATGTAAACCTTCATATTCTAGATAATAGTCTTCACCGTCTAATGAAAAGCCAGACATAAGTTGCTTTCCCAGATCAACTAAATATTTATGCTGAACACCAGTTTAAAAGATTTTTTAACAGGGAAATGGCTCTAGTTCTCTCTGAGAAAACGTCTTCACAGGTTCCGTCTTCTCAAGAGGAAGACGATTTGCTGATGAGAAGCTCAAAAAAGATCAAGAATGCTGTAAGGAAGGAGGGGGATAATCTCCTACGTGGACATTGGCCAAAGCTAGGTGAGAGTGGAGCCAACTTTACTGCAGGAGGGCCCTCATTCGCTGAAAAACTCAAAGGAATAGACAGAAGAAACAATGGCTCGGATGATGACATGGAGGATGAGGTTAATACTAACGTAAATACTGATGATACGAAGTCGGAGAAGTCTAACGAAGCTGAAAGTGATGAAGAAGAACCGGTCTGTAAAACTATAGAAGACCCCAACAGAAATTTTCCCACCTTTGAATTTTCTGGAAGGATGAAGAAAAAACTTTACAGGTCATGGAAGAAGGCAGTCATCGCGAAACTTCTTGATAGGAGCATTGGATATAAGGCTCTGTATTCCCGTATTCAAGCTATGTGGGCTAAGAAGGGAGTGATTAGTCTTATTAATATTGGGCATGGGTTTTACGTGGTCAAGCTTACCAATAGGGAGGATTATTTTCATGCGTTAACGGGGGGGCCATGGATGATCTATGATCACTATCTAACTGTCAGACCATGGGTTCCAAAGTTCAGACCAGAGAGAGCAACAATTGATAAGGTGGCGGTGTGGGTGAGAATGCCGAAGGTTTTTCTGGAGTATTATGATGAGGAGGCTCTTACTATCATCGGGAATCGCATTGGAGAAACCATCAAAATTGACATGAATACTTCTTGTCAGCTGAGGGGTCATTCTCAACTTTTGTAGCTTCAATGTCATAACTTTCGTCTTGATTCTCATATTTTAATATTTGCATTTTTTTTATTTGTTTCATTTATAATCACTCTGTTTATTTCATCATGTTATTTGTTTTTGTATATTTTTAATAAAATAATAATTAATTTTTACTAATAAAAATTATTTATTTTATGATTTTATCTTAAGTAAAAACAATTAATGAAGGTTTTTTATTATTTAAAATTTTAATAATACATTAATTCTTTTTTTAATTTAAATTTTAATATTTTTTAAAAAAATTATCAAATTATATAATATATGTTATAAAACTCATCATTTTCAGTCATGTTATATACAAATTTACTTTTCTATCAATCATTCAAACAAGTTTTAACTTCTCAAACTGATTTCTTTGTAAAAATCAATACAAACATAAATCACATTATACCAACAAACTTTTATCCTAATTTATATTTGTAAAAGTTAGTTAGAATAAAAAATAGTTTCGTTACTACTAATCCAAATACACCATTCATGTATCATAAAAGTCACTTTTAAAACTATGATTTGCTTTTCATCTAAATAATCACTCCACAATCCCCCGCGGTTCACATGGCTTGTATTTGTCAATTCCAACGAGGGCTAATTTTATGCCACAACTGAGAATTTAGCATGATTTTCTGATATATCTGCAAATTTAGTACAATTTCAGCAGAAATTTTCAGAAGTTCTGACGTTTTTATAGCATCAAATTTGAGGCCGTGCCTGAACCACAAATATTATCCCGGCTTTAACCACCCCTTCAATGTCCTGAGGGCAACCGTAAAGGGCCTCTATGATTTTTCCCGCCTCTGCAATTCTCGACAACAGCGATGTTTGAAAAGCTTTATCAACTATAATTGGATCTCTAGAGTAGTCTAATACGACTTTATCCACTTCGTCCATGATCACACTGCAGAATATTTGAGCAGGCATTTAGATGGCATACCCTCCAAGCAATCACAAAACATAGTTACAAAAGGAGGAGATTTCGCAAGATACGAGAAAACAGTGGTCTCCAGTGAACTTATTTCTAGGATCGTCAAGTGATCTCCAGAAAATTATTTCTAGGATCACTCGTACCAGCTAACCTATATAGTGTAAAACCATTGCAGCACAAATCCAAGAAATTAGCTAGCCTTTAATACGTTGTAACCCGGTAACACCACTTCAAGTTTCGATTTTCCACAGTTTTTTTTTTTGGTCTTTCGTCTTGGTGACTTACCAGAATCTCCCATATCACTTCATAATAAAAATTTAGTATTCTAGATCTCTTTGAACTACCACTGTAGTTCGCCTTTCCATATTACACAGGTCATGCATACTGCATCGCAGTCTAAACAGCCAGAACCACCAATTCAAATATTGTATCTCTATAGAATAGATTATTTGGTTTAAAAAATGTGGGCATTCAAAATCTTAGCTGTCCAGCAACAATTCAATTATATTACAATGTACTGTAATACAATTTGTATATAATTTAAGAATAAGCCACATATTTTACCTGTCAAAAAGGCCGGCACCTGAAAATCCACCAAGGTCCTCAGCATTAGAGTCCGATCTGAATATAATGGACTTCTTACTGTACAATCCTGTCAGCTTGCTCGGGTAACCAGTAACCTACAATAAAATCCATTGCTTCTTTAAGTGGTAGAAAAACGGCTCTGCCACCTTTCAATTTGATGAGTGGCCATTTCAAAACTATTGGAATTCAAAGTAATTGGACATGATGCAACTTGACGGGCGTAATTTAACACATTAACATATAGCAATGAAGAGAAATTGGCATTACCGTAGGAGACTTCAGATTAGTTTTCTTTACAGTGAAAGTCATTGCACGTCCTGGATATGCCCCCACCAAACTCTCTCCCAAGCCCTTCACAATCTGTTTTTGCACCAAAGAAGGAAACGGTAAGAAAAGCATTTTCCTTGATTTGTCAATAAACCAGGAGGCAACATTTACCTCTGCATATATCTCAGTGGGATCCCCTGATATGGGATTCTTTGTATGAATCACAAAAGCATAATCGCCACAAATTACTTCTTGAATTAACACAGCCATGCATATGTCGTCATGATTCAACTTGGCCTTCTGGCAGCTAAGAAAAGCTCTTTCATTCCACTTTGAAGCCCAAACCTGGAAATAACAAATTTTACATGGTTTTGTCCACTGATAATAAACATTCAGTGCTTGCGGATCAGGCTAATGACATTTTGTTGACAAGCAGCCAAATTCCTTATATGTGAAAACCATCAGATATCCAAAGCAATCAAACATTTAGGCATTTCTGTAATTATGCGCATGTCAGCCTTTATCAAAATTTGTTAACATGAAAATTTTGCAACCAATAAGATCCCAGAAAAACTCAAATGAAAACCATAGGAAAACCATAATGCATATTAAAGTGGAAAAAAAAAAGGAACAATGTGAGACAAAGATAAACAAAAGGATGATACAAAGTTTGGAAACAAAATTTGAGAAATAATAAGTCATATTTATTTATGATGACAAATTCTTACCTTCTTTATTGCTTGCCATGCACAACTCCACTTGTCTTCACCTTCATCACCAAGCCATGCTAATCTTGAACTTCTCATTTTGCGCTTAAGCTCATTTGTCTGCCAAAATTTGTATTATGGGCGTTAGGATATAAGCTCAACGCCCATTGCCTGTAAATTGAGTTATTCTGACTGTAGAATACAGGGTTGTATGTAGGTGGTTTTATGACTGGCCCATAAGTTTCATAACTGAAGGACTGACAACTTATAACCAATATAACACTAACTATCAACAGGAATGTATAATCTTCAATATGATAGAAACTAGAATGGGCCCCTTTTATTTGTACAGTACTCGAAAAGAGCTACTGAGACTAGTTCAACTTCTTTCAACTTTTAAAAATACAGTAACACACACACACACACACACACATATATATTAAATTACTGTGATCCCAGATCACGTGGCTGAAGTTAAAAGTTTCATATGCACCACGATCAGAACTGTCATGTAAAGCATTTCAATATCATGGAGTGATGCCATGCATTATCTTGGCTAAAGGCATAAAAGTTACTTGCAGAGAATAATTATGGCATTCACAATATTATCAAAGAATGATTAAAAAAAAAAAAAAAAAAAGAGGAAGATATTAAAGGCGAGTTTTTGACATGCTTGAAGAAGTCTGTCATAAACAATCGACTTTTCCTGTCAGAAAACAAATTACTGCAGGATTAAATAAATATTATAGACTCCATTTTGCAGCATCTCAATATTTAAGGGTTTGAAAAATCACAGTCCAAGAATCTCATAATGCGTGAAAAATACCAGATACGGTGGAGCGTGCATTTTTAGGATGGCTTCATGAATTGCTCCAAGTTTTGAATGGTCACCGCGATCTACTAATTGGCATAAAGAATGGATCCTGTCTGCTGCATCCTGCCAGCGAATGACGAATTTAAACTCAGCTTTTGGAAAACTTCTGGCAGAATTATTAAGCATGAAATAACTAAACAAGCATATGCTTGGAGAATACTTTCATAAACATAACTATAAGAGCGCTCCTTGTTCTGTTAACTTACTGGGAAAAGATTTGCAGGATGGTTCGTAGTTATAGACCTTGTATGATATAAAAGAAGTTCCTTCACTTATATTAGCTATGCATTTCAATTCCCTGGTGCTTGGTAGTTCCCCTTGGGGAGTAGTCTTCACACTAAACTAAGTCATATGTTGCGCTCACTAACCATGATCTAGAGTAGAAACTTAATATTTCAGGACTCACTGTCAGGAGACAGAAATTTAAATCACACTAATGACATCAAGAACTGATTATACTATATCAAGTCATATCAGATGAAGTTTCAATCAATATTTATATAAAAATTAAGATAATTGCCATCACAAGTTGAAGTCTGCTCTTTTCATGTATATAAAGGGATTAAAAAAAAAAAAAGATACTCCTTGGGAAAAACAGTGGTCATTTGAGATTAACACTCGGTCTATTAGACTGTGGCAATACAGGCATTACCATTTATAGGACTTCAGACTTAAGCCAAAACTAATCTATGAACATGTGGTATGTTTGTAACAAAATCCCGAATAATCCGTTATTGATATT